TGCAGTAGGAAAGGCCTAATTAATGGCCTAGCAAACCATTCCAACAAATCACATTGAATACATTTTCTTCTATTTTGTGAAACAGATTACTCAGAAAAATTTTGCAAATGCTTGTACTATCACAGAACAGACCTAAAAGATCAGCCGATTTTACAAAATAAATTATTTGAGCACTACAGATAGCTCGTTGTGGGCAGCAAGCTGCTGACAGATGTGTATTACTGATGTAAGTTGGTATTACTTGATGTTACCCTGATCTCCAGCGATTGCGGTTTCCAACCAATATGCTGGCTGGTGTCCCTAATGTTTTGTTTTCCCTTTTCTCAATGTTGAAATTGCTCCTATCCAAAGATAGGTGATTCCTTTCTTTCCTCTCCTCAATAGTACAGTCTTCTGAAGGGTCTTCTTTCTCCCTCCTTAAAGTGGTTCTAAAGGCTGAAGGTCTTTCACCTTCATGAATTCTGTATTCAGTTCCTCCTTCTGCCCCTTCTAATACTTACCTGAGTCCCCTCTCAAACCAGCAATGTGCATGGGAACCTCAGCTGTCCCGGGTCTGTCTCTCTCCTCATTGGCTGAGAAACAGCAGCGGGACCATTGTCTTCCACTGCTGTCAATCACAGCCAGTGAGTCAATGAGGAGAGAGCGGGGGAAAGGCCAAGGCTCTGTGTGTCTTATGGACACAGACCGGGGCTCGGGAGTGAGCACACACCAATGCCCCCATAGAAAGCAGCTTGATACTGGAGGCGCTGGTCAAGGGGGAGGAGCCAGTAGTGTCGGCAGGGGACCCAAGAAGAAGAGAATCAGGGCTGCTCTGTGCAAAACCATTGCACAAAGCAGGAAAGAGTGACATGTTTGGGATTTTTCCTTGTTTTGTTTTTTTTTAATAAACAAACCTTTTAATATCACTTTAAGTTTCATAATGGGCTGTTTTTCTCAGGCCTGCCCCAAAGCCAAAAAATAAGCCCTGTGATTGTAGGAGCAATGCACCTGGGGATGATCAAGGTGTAAAAAAAGCTAGTGAAGAGGTGATACACCTCCTCACCCCTGTCAAATGCTTTCTGAAGAGCAATCCGACCGCAGATCACTCTTCAGGGAGCACCCCACATGTGAAAGGACCAAGTTGGCAGGAGTTAAAAAAAAAAAAAACTTTCTTGGACCTTATTTGTTCACTGGGGGGGGGGGGGGGGGCAGAAAGGGGACTATTTATTCATTTTTTTGGGTACGTGCAGAGTAATCTGCAACTCTGCAATTCAATAAATTAAAGTCCTTGCCTCTTCTATATGAATAAGCTAAGACAGGCGATTTTTCTCTGCCCACACCCAAAAGTGCCCCTGGCCCCAGCTGAACAAATGGGGCCCCCTATAAGTTTTTTTTTTAATTGCTGTAGAGCAGGGTTCCAAGAGTTGGGAATCCCCTTTATGCCTTCAGGTCCCGCTGCTGAATTGGCAAAGCTGGGCCCGGGACAGGTGGACTGGCTCTACCCCCTCATCAGCAGCCCTGATCACAAGCAACAGCAGCCATCAGAACTCAGTTGTCACAGATAAAAGCTGTACTTCTTAATTATTATTATTATTATACTTGTTATCGATCTATATTCCCGATCTATATTCCTATTAAGCTGCTAATACACTTACTAAAAATCCTAACAGAAACTTCCTTTTAATTTTCCCAAGCAATAAATGATCTGTGTCAGGGGTGGACTGACAACTCATGGGGCCCTCGGGCAATAGGGGATCATGGGGCCCCTGTGTCCTTGCCCACACTCAAAAAAAGCCTATAAAAGGTACTAGGGGCATTTCATGGGGCCCCCTACTGACCCCGGGACCTCAGGCAGTGCCAGAGTGCTCGAATGGTCAGTCCAACGCTGATCTGTGTTTATTTTGTTTTATATTTTGTAATGTAGTTGTTGCTTTCTACTGCTTCTTTACGACTACATTTGAGTTTATGCCTGACCATCCTCCCAAAAGATATTGAAGTAACGGGACTGTGAGAATAAGGTTTTGTGGACTGGGAATAGATATTTTCAGGCTGGCACATGAGGAAAAATAAATGGAAACCCAACAATCATTTGTCAATTCAAGTCATTTGTATAATTGCATCAATTCTGCAATACTTAATTTGGAGGAAAAGGCAAATTATAATGTACTTCACAGGCTCTGAAAGTTGGAAAATGTCCTTATTAAAGAGATTGGCGGCTGTGATGGAAATTTTGCTGTAAAAAAAACAACAGCTTCCTTGTAAACAGCTAAACATTAGGGCCGTTCCAATGATGTTTACAGCATTTAGTGAACTGATGTCTGACCATTCAAACAGATCAGTTCCCATAGACACAACTGAGGCCAATTTACTAAAATAGTAGAGAATGTTCACACAATATATTTTATTGAAGATTCTCTTTTTATGTGCCTGAAGAAAGAAGTAAAAGGGGGATTTCTTTTCACGTGATTGGATAATTGAAGTGAATGTTCACACAGTTTATTATGTAAACTTTCCCACTTCCTTTATTAAATCATCCTAAAACTGTATCTTCATCTTTGTGCTAAAATACTTTATGATATTAACAGACAGCACTGCTAGTGTTTTTTGTAGCTTCCAAATCCCATACACCCAATAAATGTGAGTTGGACACCTACTTTATTTACTGTGGATCAAGGCCAGATTTACAATTAGACATGGTAGGCCCTATTCTGAGGGCACCATGGCCTGCTCTGTGGACTTTCTTCTTCCTCTGTTTTTAATAAATTTTTGTACTTTATCACTTTGTCCCAAAAAAATAAGACGTTTGAATCAGAAGCCAGGCAACCTCTATTTCTTTCCCATCAGTAGCTATGCTTTTTTTCCCCATCAAACTGAGCTTGTTCCCCTACTCACTTTCAACTTATCAAACTGGATTGTAGGTACTCTCATGTCCTTCCATATGTCTTCAGGACCCTAGGAACCCAAAAAACCCTGAGGTGCTGTAACAATGCAAATCTTCTTCAAAGAAAGTCGATCTTCAAAGAAAGCAAAGAGTTGACCAATCCTTAGCTTCCTTTTGGTTACATCCTTTTGCACTCTACCTAAACCTATTTAGAGCTATAGTTGTGCTATGTAATTAAAAAATTCACCAAGAAAACTGTGTATATATATTATGAAAATACAATGATAATAACCAGCTGCAGTTCAAAGTTAGTGTTATGCTGCCACCAATTCAATAATGTATACATGTAATGCAGGCCATACATGGGTCAAATTTTCTTTAGAAGATCAGAAATTTGTGTATTTTGTAATCCGATGGTGCCACCATTGATTTCGAATTTCAAACATCCAAGCCTTCAATTTCACCTCATTTTGCTACAGAAAAGAATTTTCGAGGCCAAGAATTTTGTTTTCATTCCAGGTCACAGCTCATGCTCATTTCTTTTTCATTTATATCTGTCACATGATTCTCCCATCATTGATTCAAAATTCATTTGTTTTTCAAAAAATTTCCAACATGCCTGGTCACTCAAGTTCGATGGTCACATGAAAATCGTCCATTTCTGGGATCCACTAATGGTGCGAATGTCGAACAAAAATTCTTACAAAAGATTTTCAAAAGAAATATTATTTTTCAGAATTTGACTCATGTATGGCTGGCTTAAGTGAACTATGCTGTGTTTGCCCTATAATAGGTGAATATGATCAATACCTGATAATTGCATCAAAATCCTGAATATCATTAAATTCTATAGGAATAAAAGAAATATAAAGTCCAGTGAGGCCCAAGTTATACGTGAATAATGATATCTCCACTTCTTAAAGTGTTTCTAAACCCAGGACACTGCATTCACTCTATCTGGTCTCCCACAGTACACATGGAAATGCAAGTATTTTATTCAGCAGAGCACTGGTTAAAGCTTGTAGGAGGAGTTTTCTTTCTGCTCTAGGAGGATGTGAAAGTGCTGACCCTCTGTCTGGACAGTGCTGATTACATGCACTTTCCCAAGAAAAAGAAAACCTCTCTAGCAATGCACACCAAACAGAGCATGTGCATGTGACTACGGATTCAGTCTGTATCAGGTAGTCATTTCAACAAGAGGAGGAGCACAAAAGAAAGGATCAAACATCCTTTTCGGACAATGCAGAAGATTAACCCCACAGTGAGTATAACAAGCATGCTTTACTGCATATACAGACTGATATTACTGTTGTGGGTTTAGTAACACTTTAAGAGCTCAGTTATTTAAACGTGTTCTGTGACATGGCATTCCCATGACTTGTACCACTCATACACTCACCAGAGCTCCCTGACCCATTTTATCTCTAAAAGGGTCTCTCAGTGCTTCTATGCACAATACTCCTTTGTGTTCCTATTGTGATGGATCAAACACCAAGAATTTCCATTGGTCACCTCATGGATATTACATCAAAATCAAAGAGAAACAGCCATCATCGCTTAACCAGTTTATTTACCCCTTAAAGCCTCCAAGCACATAATTCATAGTGCCCTATATCCAGCATGCATGCCACTGCTCCGATCGACCAGGTCAGTGCGCAATCCACCAGCAGGAAGTTGCGTTACCAGAATTGACGTGCTCCTACGCATTTCACCTTTGAAGAGTGTTCAGGAAGCTGCGTGCACCATTTTGCAAGTGGTATTTTTACCCTAACATAGTGGAACTTCCTGTTAGGTGATAATCCACATATAAATATTAATAAATGACAATACAAACAAAAATGTTACAGCAAGTATATGCACCTTAAAAACTCTCTATTGTTCATCATTAAACACTTTTATCAACAATAGAGGGCAAAGGGCTAGGCTCCATTGTTCTAAGTGATATTTCAGGATCTTGCAAGTGCAGATTAACTAGCTGCCGACCGCAGATAGCCGAATGACGGCTGCACTGCGGCCGGCCAGTTCTGGGTGGACGTCATGTGACGTCCTCCCAGAACGCGCGCCCCAGGGGGCGCGCACTCGGCGATCTCCGTGATCGCTGTGTCCTACGGACACAGCTGATCACGTGATGTGGTAAAAGGCCAATCACAGCGGCCTTTTACCACGTGATCAGCAGTGTCCAATGACACGCTGATCAGAGGAAAATGCAAGTGCCGGTTCTCGGCTGCACTTTCCTCACGCTGTGAGATCGTGAGGAAAGTACTGCCGAGAACCGGCAGTTGTCAGAGCGGGGATCGGCACCGATCATCAGGGCACTGATGATCAGTGCCCTGATGATCGGTGCCCAGCAGTGCCACCCGCAAGCTCCGCCCACCTGTGCCCAGCAGTGCGCCCACTAGCTCCGCCCACCTGCGCCCAGCAGATCACCCACCTGTGCCCAGCAGTGCACCCACCTGTGCCACTCTGCAGTGCCACACACCTGTGCCCAGAAGTGCCACCCACCTGTGCCCAGCAGTGCCACCCACCTGTGCCCACCCACCTGTGCCCACCTGTGCCCACCCACCAGTGCCACCCACCAGTGCCATCCACCAGTGCCACCCACCAGTGCTGCCAGTCAGTGCCACCAGTCAGTGCCCAGGGGTTGTGCCAGTCAGTGCCGCCAGTCAGTGCCCAGCAGTGATGCCAGTCAGTGCCGTCTATCAGTACCCATCATCAGTGTCACCTATCAGTGCCGCCTATCAGTGCTGCATATTAGTGCCGCCTATCCGTGACACCTCATTAGTGCTGTCTATCAGTGCCGCCTATCCGTGCCACCTCATTAGTACTGCCTATCAGTGCCCTTTAGTGCTGCCTATCAGTGCCCATCAGTGCCGCCTATCAGTGCCCATCAGTGCTGCCTCATCAACGCACATCAGTGAAGGAGAAAAATTACCTGTTTGAAAAATTTTATAATAGAAACAAAGAAACTTTTTTTTTTTTTTTTTTCAAATAGTTTGCATTTATGTATTTATAGCGCAAAAAGTAAAGCGCCCAGTGGCGATTAAATACCACCAAAAGAAAGCTCTATTTGTGAGAAAAAAATGATCAAAATTCCATATGGGTACAATGTTGCATGACCGCGCAATTGTCAATCAAATTGCGGCAGTGCTGAAAGCTGAAAATTGGCCTGGTAAATAAGGGGGTATAAGTGCCTGGTAGGCAAGTGGTTAATTTCTGGTCCTTCCTACCTAGCTTCAATTCCAAATTGGAATCATGTCTGACATGTAGCACTGGACTGATAGAAATGACAGTTGGTTCTGATGGATACACCATAAAGTGCTCCTTCTTTAAAGAAAAAGATCCATGATTAAAATATAGCACAGCGGGAGCCTTTATTGGTCCTAGTCCTGCTACTTCTCTGATAGAGACAAAGAGAGCCAGACAGTAAATTCTTGGATGTGTACAGAGAAGTGATGCTGCAAAAGTTTATCTCACTTAAAGGACCTTTTGGAACATTTTTAAAGGTAAGGAGCATCAAATACAGCCAAGGCATTTGGGAAAAAAGTCTCCCACTTCTTTGATGTTCTTAACCATTAAATGTTTCAAAAAGTCCTTTCAGTGAGATGAACTCTTGTACAAGCAAACAATATTCCTATGTTTCTGTGATAGGCTAGGAGGTTAGTAGGTGTTGCAACTGCCAGCTGGAAACTGGAAACCTCAATGGAAATGGAACAACGTACATGTTGACAGCAAACCAAGAATTTTTAAATAGCATCTAAATGTTTTATTCAAGATGATCACATCAAGCGGAAGAGAAGGCAACATTTTGGGTCTGTGCAGGACTCCTTTATCAGACATATGATACCTAACGAAGGTGTCCTGATGCAATGTTTCAGAGCCAAGCACAACCTATGAAATGTTGCATTCTTTCTCACTGAAATGATTATCTTGAATAAAACCTTATTGGACATAATTTGAAGATCCCTGTTGTGCTGGAAATATAGCTTTTGTACCAGATGCTTATCTATACACATCCAAGGTAGCCATCTATGGCCAGAATGGGGTGCTCCTCTGTACACATCCAAGAATTTACAAACTGGATAACTGATATAAACAGTGTAGTAAACCATTGACCAATGAGTACTAATAACAGCTTGTTGTTGTTAGAAATTGTTGTTCTCTATGGGTTACTATGGGTTACTGTCCTTAGAACATCATCAATGTGCTGAGCAAACTGTTGGTGCTTTATAAATCCTGTATAATAATAATCATTGTGACGATTGTGTGCAATAGAGGCATGGATGCTGTACATGACAAGCCATCTTGTTAGGTCGCAGCCATGTTGTCTCTCCTGTCCTCCCTCCTCCCTTTTGAATGGAATGTGAGTCTGTATGTGAACAGAGGTCAACAGGATCTGTTATCCTAAATAAAACACAGCTAGATGAGCTCCATGGCTGTAAACCACTAATTTGTCTGGTTCCAGGGGGTCTGCTTGAAAACCACTTTCCTCTGCCCGATCGTAAAACAATAACTCAGTCAGTCATGACCTGTTAGGCCATTAGAGCTAGAGTGTACCATAAACCGTACATTCCACATTAGTCATTTTTCATACAAATTCATAAACTTCAGCAGGAACTGGGCACATTAATATGAAGTATATATTCGGATAGGTCATTTTAATATGAGTCACATGAGACCTTACATCCCTTGGTAGCTTTGCGTTTGGAATATAATTCTAAATATTAATTTGCCAGTTGCTAGGATGCTACCTGTACCTATTGAAGGTTGTTGACCGTAGTATGAAATTTTAAGGGATTTGGTCATAACCTTGGTTACCGCCTAACACCCATCCCCAAATGGGATGATTGGCCATTTGTTCTCAGGAGACACCCCTTTGAGATGATAGAAAAAGACTGACAGCCTGGAGAAAAAAGGAGCTCTCCTTAACATCCATCAGGAATCATCTTGAGAGCCAAAGCAACCTTTTGTTTTGGATAATTGGACTCTGCTCAAACCAAGGACTTTTGCAAGTATTCTGCCTTCTGAACTTCTTTCTTTTATTTCTCTGTGTTGTTTTATTGCTCTCTTTATATCTTTGTTACATCTTTTTCTGTAAATATTTTAATTGCGCATTTTGACCTTTTTAGTAATAAATCCTATTTTCTGAAATGTTGAACTGTCTCTAAAGCTTTTAATGCAAACTAAAGAATCCCTGTCTCTGAAGAGTGCTACTGTATGTAATAATCCTCTGAATACATCTGTCTGTGGTGACAGTGTGTATTACAGACACTTATATTAATATCATAGTGTTACTGCTAAGATTTGTGAGTTTCCTCCTTCTCTGTAAAAAGGTGGTGGTGGCAGTGTGAAGGGTTAATTGCGTAATTAACCTGACCCAGTAACAATTGCTCTCAGGCTGCTGCACATAGATTGTAGTCCTGTGAGCTTGAAAATCTGTGTGCAGGGCGCAGCTGAGAGTGGCATTGTTATGCAAGTGACAGGGTGGTGTGAGATTGGCTGGTCCTTAGGTCACGAGTTGGTGAAAGGGCTGGGGTCTGACGCCACGCACCGTCACAATCATCATCAATGCTTTTTGCATTGCCCTATTAAATAAATCTTATTTCCACAGATCTTCTATATCTGAGAAAGCAATCTGAGGATTGATGACAGATATGTAGAAATAATCAAGATATCAGCATGCATTTCCGTAGCAGAAGAGAAATGTTGGCAAAGTAGTGGAATGTAGGAACATTACTGGAAATCCTTCAGATCCCATCAGTTATGAGCTATGTCATACATGCATCCTATTACATATAGCTGTGTTTGTGTAAGGGAAAAACAAGCACAATGAGTGATGTTTTCCTCTTCCTTGAAGATTGTCCCATGCCATCCGCCTAGTCTGCTAGTCTGCTGCTCAGGAAGGAGTTCTTCCACATGTAATTATTGAGACCATCCATTTTATGCTTCTCAGCTCTTAGTTGTCTTTCAAAGAGCTTCAAGAGCTCCAACATCACTAGGTAGAGCTTTTAATTCATCATTGGGGATGAGCATAAAGGTTCATCAAACTTGCCTTAAGCCTTGTATGATCAAAATATCGCACAAAAAAAGTGATCATACGATAATCTAATCGTTAGTACACAGCAATCGTCCAAAAAAATAGAAGGTGCAAGCACAACATTTTTTTATCTGCCGGTACCAGATTGTACAATTTTCGTTTAACCAGTACAGTAGTTGTCCAAAGATACAATACAATTACGTTACATTCTTCAGAATTTTTATTCTGTCTTTAAAGAATTTTTGTAACTTTAGTAACCTTTTCACTTTTGATATGAGACTAACATGCAGGAAAAAAACAGACGATCATTTGTCCAATATTCTAAACGTGTATCCGGGGCTTTAGCTTCACAATTAGTGGTTTTTCATTTACATAAATTTCTAGGTATCAGATTGTTCAGTGTGCTGGAGAATCCAACATACGGGAGCCATCTTTCTTTTTCTGCTGTAAAAAGGCGTACCCCTCAGTAGCTGTCTCTTGACAAATAAGAACTTTTAGGGCTCAAGAGGTGCTTGAAGCAGCACCGTGTGACGTTCAATGATGCCTGTGAAGTACAGGGAGGAACAAATGCTACTAAGCCCTGGTTCACATCTGTGCGGGCCGCGATTTGCATGGGCACGAAAGCCCATTCATTTGAATGGACTCCCATGCCCCGGGACATGCAGGGAAGAAGTCCCTGTACTACTTTGGAAATTGCAGCCTGCATGGGAACAGAGATTCCCAGTAAGGTTGAGATTTCCAGTGCGGGCGGCATGCTATATGAACTAGTGACACCCACCTGTGGGTCCCGCATTCTTCTGTGTGGGTGGTGCGGGTCCCGCAGCAGCACCACCTGCACAGATGGTTGAGCAGTATACAAATTTGGCTGAATCCAAAGGACATCCTTCAACTTAAAAATTGAAGGCGCTAAGCAGAAATTGCTGGTCGAACTGTGGCAGCATCCAATCAGATGCAACAGCTGTTTAGGAATTCTGACATGTGAATACGATAGCTGCAATGGGAAATTTCTCCATCTGTGTTAAATAGCATGGTTGGGGGAATCTGTTAGATTATTTTCATTCAGCTGGCAGGTGGATGTAAAATAATCTATGCATGTATACCCAGTTTAAGATGCCAGCATGGACAGTGTGGAGAGCCAGCCTGGGGAAGGGTTTATTGTAGAGGACAGGAAAGGTACTCTCCCTTCAGGTCTGTTTATTAACCACTTGCCCTCTAGAGGATTCCCCCCCCCCTTCCTGACCAGACTATTTTTTGAGATACAACGCTGTGTTACTTTAACTGACAATTGCGCGGTCATGCAACGCTGCACCCAAATTAAATTTACGTCCTTTTTTCCCATAATAAATAGAGCTTTCTTTCAGTGGTAATTGATCGCATTTGTGCGTTTTTTTTATTTTTTGCACTATAAACAAAAAATAAAACAATAATGGAAATAAAACAATATTTTTGACTTTTTGCTATTAAACATGTCCAGTAAAAAAATCAAATTTCGTCATAAATTTGGGCCAAATGTATTCTGCTATATGTCTTTGCTAAACAAAATCCCAATACGTGTAAATTAATTGGTTTATGTGAAAGTTATAGCGTTTACAAATGGCGGTGTATATATACTGGAATTTTATTTTTTCTAGTAAT